GGGTAAGCGCTGATTGTATAACGCGTTTGAGCTGCCCCAGCGTACTTGTGTCATAAGCCTTGCTCATGCGCTCGACGACCCCGAACGTAGCGCAGCGCGCAAGATGCTCGAGACTGTGCGACAAAGCGCGAGCTCGCAACCACATCGGCCAAGCATGCTTTTCTTCAGGTTGGCTTTGCCCTATAGCCCAATAGCCCTATAGCCCTATAGCCCCTACGGCCCCTACAGCCCCATAGCCCAACAGACCTATAGCACTATACCCCCATAGCCATATAGCCCTATAGCCCCACAGCCCTATAGCCCTGTAGTCCTCTAGCCCCGCAGCCCCAACAAAAACCTGATTGGGGTCGTTCTCTGGCATCATATGCTTATCCTCAGGTTGGCTTTGCCCAAGGGGGGTGGTTCGATTTGTGCAGCAGGGTTGGTGGCGACAGGGGCTGTCCCGCCAGGAGTTGTGGCCTGGCCGGAGTTGCTCGGAGGTTCCCCGAGGGCCCTGGCGGGTGCCCAATACGCGTTGCATAGCTTCGCTTAGTTTCGTGGTGCTCTGCGTTTCTTCGCAGTGTTCCGCATTTGTTGGTGTGGTTTCTCGCTGCTTCTTATCGGTGTTTAGTTCTGCAATGATCTGCATCATTTGGCGTTGCTTGCGTTGCTTTGATTTCGTTGCGCTGTCTAGCGGGTTTTGCTTTGCATTGCGATGCATTGCGTCGCAGGGGATTGGTTCGCGCTGCTTTTCATTGAGTCGCGTCGCTGGGTATTTTGCTTTGGGTCGCTTTGCGTCTGCCTTCTTGAGTTGCTTTGCGTTGTCCTTCGTGACGTTGTGTTGAGGTGCTCGTTGCGTGATTGTTTTTTTTACGATGTTTTACGTTACTCTTCGTTACTTGTGTTTTGTTTTGTCTATTCGGATCGGTATTGCGTACAGTCTTGTTGGATTGCATCGCGTTGGCTGCCTTGCTTTCTAGTTGCAGCGGTATGCAACCATGCAGCCACTATTCGGGAGCCTTGGGACGGGGGTGCATGCACACGGGGGTCGGCCAGAGTGCCAGATCTTGCGGGATCCTGCAGGGCCAGGGTTACACGGACCCCGGCTTGCGTGCAGGAGCTCGAATGATTTTGCAGGATTTTGCAGTATTTTGCAGGTGCTGGCAAGCCCTGACTGAACCGGGTTTGCATCAACCCACGTCAGTAGGTCCCTGACACTATTGCGTCCGTGTCAGGGTCGTTGTCGTATTTCTGTTCTCTCGCTCTCTATTTCTTGCGCCTGGCCTTGTCCGCTTCCTCTCGTCATCTTCTGTCCTCTTCTCCTCCCCCTCTCATCCCTTGCCCCTCCTCTCGCTGTTGGGGCAGGCGCGTGACGCAGATCCCCCCCCAGGTTTGGGAGCGAGAGAGCACCTCCGCCGCCGCCAGGCCTCATGGGCTACACCTTAGGCGATGCTTAAGAAAACCTGAGTTTTCGTCCAGAGTCTCGATTATTCTTTATTTTCCAATGTAAATCCCAAGATTTTGATAGAAGTTCTGGGTTTTTATTCCATTTCTGAGACTATGAATTTCTTAACCCATGATTTCTTAAGCATTTCGCAGGGTGTAGATCAGGACCAAGGCCTTGACAGGTTGATACCTATTTGATGTTGGTCAGCTCGGGACGCCGCACCTCACCTGGGCTGGAGGAGGAGGAGGAGGGGGAGGGGGAGGAGGAGGAGGAGGAGGAGGAGGAGGAGGAGGAGGAGGAGGAGGAGGAGGAGGAGGAGGAGGAAGATGCGGAGGCGGTGGCCCGATGTTGAACCGTGGCAGGGCCGGCCGGTGGTGGCGAGTGCTGCCCCCTCCTGTCACGGGAGGGGGGGCCTCAGGGCGCGAGCAGCACCGTCCTGTGTGGAGGTGCTGCCACTTCCGACAGGACGCCCCAGCCAAACCCTGAACCCAGAGTCGCAGGCGATTTCTCTCCCCCAATCCCCGACTTCCGCCAGAAAAGTTTGGTGGCTCAGAAAAGGGGAGGAATCTTGGGATGCATCCCGAGGGGGCTATTCGGACGCACCCCTGTGGAGGATGGACGCCCCCCACCTCGTATATCCCAGGGTTGGGCCCCAAATTGTTGATCCTCTCGAAAACCTCACGGAGCCTGGGATAGGGGTCGACGCATCCCCTGTTACAGAGCGCCCCACCTTGGTCTGGTACCGTCGGGGCCCTGAAGAAGGAACCCTTTTGGTCGGGGAGGGGCTCCGCGTTCCTCACGTGTCTCACAGCCTGCCTCAGGTTTCCCTTATGTTTTCGATCGGAGATCGAAGTGTAGCTTATGGAAAAAAGGGGCCTCGTTCCCTGTTTAGGGTTCCTTAGGTCAAGGCCCCGACTGTGCGGGTTTCCTTTCCCCGGCCTCGGGCGACCCGCTCTGGATTTTCCTCCTGGCGGCGTGTCCGCGGCCCGGCGCGCCGCCTCCGCGCCGGTGGCCTCTTCGGCGTCGCCGTCGTGCTGGTCGCGGGCGTCGTCGCCGCCGCCCGCCCGCCCGCAGACGACCTCGGCGAGCCTGCTGCGCAAGATCGTGCTGACGAAGGGTGACGTCATCCAGGACGACGACCGCGAGGCGGGGGACGCATCGCTGATCTCCGCCCTCTCCCTCTTGTATGATCCCATCCGTCCCTTCCCGCTTCCTCCGGAAAGTCCTCAGTTCTCGCCTCCTCTTTCCCACACGCGGCACTGCATATGTATATGTATATGCATTTGCATAGGTATATACATATGCATATGTATAGGTATGAATGATTGTGTATGTGCATGTGTATGAATTTGAATATGCATATGTGCATGTGTATGATTTTGAATAGGCATCTGTTGTTTTATTGGTAGGTGCATATACTTGTATACATGTATGTATATATATATATGTGTATATATAAACATATGTCGAAGAATATGTGTGTGCATATGTGTGTATGCATGTGTCTGTATATGCATAATCTACATGTATAACTGCTGGCCTGCGGTTAAGTATTAGTAAACGTATGTGTGTGTATGTATGTATGCATGTATGCGTATATGATTATAGGTATGTATGTATGTATGTATGTATGCATACATATATATATATATGTATATATATAAATGTCCACAGGTGTACTCATGTGTGCATGCGTATGCACATTCACATGTACACGTAGTTGTATACTTGTATGCACACTTATGTCCATGTGAATACCTACGCATATTGATGTGGCTATGAATTGAAGCCTTTCCCCCTCAACCCTGCCCGCTTGCGCCGCCTGAAGGCATTGCCAGGCGCTGGATATGGATATACAGTCAACCCGCATGGGAAGGATGGCCAACCTTCCCAAGGGTATCCTTGCATCCTTGCCTCCTCGGCCCATCCTCGGCCACTTTCGTTGGCCGCGCGCCGCTCGAAAAGCTTCGAGATAGCCTCCCAAAGCCCTCGCATCCTCATCGTGCGTCCTTCTGATGCGGGTCGACTGTATGGCCTGTAAGAACGGTTTTTTCAAGGGAGATCTGCCTTCAAAACATAGTCTACTCTGTAAGAACGGTTTTTTGAAGGCAGATCTGCCTTCAAAAAACCGTTCTTACAGAGTAGACCAATTTTTTGAAGGCAGATCTGCCTTCAAAACACCGTTCTTACAGAGTCGACTGTATGACAACATCTCCGCCTCGCATCGCCTGCCCCGTGCAGGCTCGCGGCAGCGGCCGGCAGGGCGCGCGCGGGGCACGCGCGGGGGCGCGGCAGGCGCTCCTCTCGTTCCTGTCCAGCGGGCACGGCTCCGCCTACGTGCCCGTCAGCGGGGAGGCCACCTCGGGCCGCGGCGCGGCCGCCGTTGTCGCCGCCTCCGTCGGCAGCCTCGCTCCCTCCTCGCTCCCTCCTCCCTCCTCGCCCCCCTCGCCTCCTCCTCCTCGCCCCCCATCCTCCTCCCCTCTCCTCTTCCTTCCTCCCTCTCCTCCCTCTCCTCGCCTCTCCTCCCTCTCCTTCTCGTCCTCCTCCTCCTCCTCCTCCTCCTCCTCCTCCTCCACCTCCACCTCCTCTTCCTCCACCTCCTCCTTCTCCTCCTCTGCTAGAGTGGAGGTTTCCATTCTGACGGCGTCCAGAGTTGATGAGGATGAATGGGGACCGTTCCAGGGACGCGCTCAGGGGTTTTCCTTGTTTTGGCAGAAATCTAGGGCCTCACCAGGCCGAGCCCACCTGGTTAACGGCCCTGCTGAATGGTGGGCGGTTTCCACCACGCTCCTCAAAAGATGTGTTTCCCTACGATTCTCTGGCAAAGACGAGAGACAGTTAAGGCAGTGCATGTGCAAGTTGCGCAAGCAATGCGAGCAGCTTGACGGGCAAGACATGTCGGATTTTATAGGCAAAGACATGCAGGAGCTCGGCGACACCACGATCGCTTGCTTATATGACCTCAGCCTTTTGCGTTAGAGCTCGAATAAGTCAGTTGTTGAAGGCAGCCGAGGTCCCGCATTCAGCTGAGGTGTCAGCGGTAGATTTAGGATGCGACACCACAGTAGGCAAAGCTAGGATTCTCAAACGGACCAAGAGTAGTCTAGTCAAGGCCACCAAGAGGTTCCGTCGCATCAGTAAGCTCAGGCGCTCGGCTACATTATCGAAGCTATCGCAGTCTCTTTGGACCACGGGGGCCCTTCCCCAAGCGGTGTACGGACACCAAGTGCATGGCGTGAGCCCGAGTCAGATTCAGAACCTTAGGCGACAGGCTGGCCAGGCTATCGCTGGAACGGGTTCGGGTCGTTGTCTGGCCACGTTGCTTGCCATGCACCTAGGGGTCAAAGATCCTGGTTTGGAGTTGCGCCGTCAGTTGGTCCCCGAGTTTTGTTTAGTTTGGAACTCGTCGCCAGAGCTCCACGACCGCATCAAAGCGGCTTGGAAGCATCTTACCCCTCGGCTCTGGCCAGCTAGAACGCGGTGGAATAGGGTGCGCGGGCCTATCAGCGCGGTGATTGCCACTCTCTACGAGGCTGGGTGGATCCCGTTCTCCCCCGGCTCGTGGCGTCGCCCAACTGCGAACGGGGGCGAGGTTTGGAGACTGCCGTGCGCGAGAGAGGCTGGTTTTGAGCAAGGGGATGCAGATTTTGTTGAATTGCTCGACGACCTGGTCCAGGATTTTGGCGTCCCAGTTTTGGACCCAGGCCGCTTCTCATTATGGGGGTGAAGGGCTGGAGCTTGGGGGTGGGGGCGCTCTCCTGGCGAGTCGTGAAGTACGCAAGTTTTTAGAAAAGGAAGCTTATGAGCTCGTAGGCCTCCAGAATGCGGCAGTGTCTGGTAGACAGTTCACTCGAGAAAGACAGGCGGCCTTAGGATATGAAGTAGCCACAGAGTGTCCAAGATGCCAGCAGAGCACAGAGACTCTCTTTCATCGGGTGTGGGAGTGCCCGTGCAATGTAGGCTTCGAGGAATTTGAGAAGAGTGAATGTATCAGGCAGCAGGCCCAGGTGCAGTGGGAGAGTTGCCCAGTTTTGTGGCTCAGGGGAGTTCCGCCTAAGAGCTACACCCATCGTTCGGTTTTTCCTGAAGAAAACCTTATGTCCCTGGGGCCGCTCCCGGTTTCCGAGGTTGAACCGCATCCCAACTTTGGGAGTGTGGTGGTTTTCGGCGACGGATCGGGGGGGGGGGCACAGTGCGGACCCACGTAGGCGAAGGTGTGGTACCGCCGTGATCGCTATGCAGCCTGACGGCCAATGGGGCTGGAGGCTTGCATGGGGCTTTTCGACTCCTGTCGGAGGGCAGCGTCAAACGGTCCTTCGAGCGGAGCTGATCGCGTTCGCCATCGCGCTTGAGCATGTCCCCGAGAGGTTTCTGTCTGTTACCGACCACGAGCCCCTCATGAAAGCATGGGGGAAGGGTCGGCAGTTCCAGAAGAACGGTTCAAATCGAGATTTGTGGTCTCGAATTCGGGTGGCATTCCAGGCTCGGTCGTCGGAGGTGAACCTGACATGGGTCCCTTCGCATATGGACGAAGCCACCTCTCTCGGCGAGCCGATCGACCTTTACCTAATTCAGGGCAACGCCCTGGCCGATGAGGAGGCGGGGGCTGCGGCGGGGAGAGGGTGGGCGGTTTCGGTGGAAGGGGGCGAGCCTCAGACTGACCACTGGGATGCGATTGGCACCCTGGTTCGAGCACGTGCGAGGCGCGCCTTGGCCCTGGCTGGGGAGGCTGGCCCATGGAGGGGAGTGCGGTACTGCAGGCCTCCAGCCATAACTTCGAGCAAACAGAGGGCTCATGGAGGTGCAGGAGTTGTGATATTGTAGTGCCCGTGTGACGTCTCGTTGAAGCCGCCAAGACCCAGTGCCGTGGCCTCCCTCTCCTCGGTGTGGGGGCGTGTGGCAGGGGCTGGGCGGCTGGAAGGGACGTGCACCCCTCTCACACCGTCCACAGGTGGGAGCGTTACCTCCTGAGTTTCTGCACCACCTGTGGCAAGTACGCCACGGTCGATGGGCGCCACCTCGCGGCGAGATGCGAGGGCCTCTCCCGCAAAGGCCGTGAGAATTTAAGCCGCATCGAGGGAGGCATGTACCCCCGCAGAGAAGGAGTGCTTAAGCCTTTGCAAGCTGCCCTCGATGCGCGAGAACGCGGTGGCCTTGAGAGGTTGTTTGCGCGTGCTGCGCCCGTGTGTGTGTGTGTGTGTGTGTGTGTGTGTGTGTGTGTGTGTGTGTGTGTGTGTGTGTGTGTGTGTGTGTGTGTGTGTGTGTGTGGGGGGGGCGGTGGGCCGCCCGCCTCCGCTGGTTAATTTGCCCTCCCGCGGAGGGTCAGCTGGCCAGTGGGAGGTGCGGGAGTGTGGCGGTGAGGTGGGGTCCCGCCTGCACCTAAGCACCCCCGTTCGGGGTCCGCTTTTCTCCCCCTTCTTCCCCCCCCCCCCCCCCCGCACGCCCCGTGCTTGGTCAAAAGGTCCAAAAGGTCCCCCTTCTCCTCCTCCTCCTCGTCCTCCCTCCTCTCTCCTCGCCTCTCCTCGCCTCTCCTCGCCTCCCTCTCCTCGGCGTGCCGCCGACGTCGCCGTCCTCGGTCCGACGGCGGCTCGCCGCGCCGCGCGTCGGCGCCCGCGGGCCTGCTCTCGGAGCTGCGCGGCGCGCCCGTGCCCGCGTCGGCGAGCCGGGCTCCTCGACGAACGAGCAACACACACCCATACCCACATGGTTTTGGGAGGAGGACGGGCTGTGGGTATGGGTGCGGGCTGTCGGACCCTCGCCCCCCTCGCCTCCTCCTCCTCGCCCTCCATCCTCCTCCCCTCTCCTCTTCCTTCCCCCGCCCCCCCTCTCCTGGCATTAATGACGACCGAACAACACACACACCCATACCCATAGGAGGGTCGGAAGGAGGAGGGCTGGCTATGGGTATGGGTGCGGGTTGTCGGACCCTGGGGAACGCTCCCGTTCGAGCGGGGACCCCCCTGCGACAACACGCGCCCATAGTCCTCTCCGATCCCCCTACGGGTATGGGTGTGTGTTGTTGGTTCGTCACTCCTGGCATTATGTCGGGCCTGTCCCTCGACAGAAGGAATATTCAAAAGTAGTAAAAAAAGTCAGGGGACTATTTTTTGAGTACTTCGGGGCATCTTTTGCATTCCATATATATATATATATATATATATATCGTTCGTCGAACATCCTCCTGCAGGGGGACAGGCCCGACCTACATCCTGGCAAGACAGGGAGCTGGCGGCGCAGCCCGCGCTGTAGTGCCAGCGCGGCAGTGCCAGGGGCCGCGCGCAGGCGGCGAAGCGCGGCCCGGCCTGCGGCTCTCGCGCCGGTCGGTGGCCTCGCCGCAGCCGCGGGCGGTGGGATCGCTTGGGCAGCTTGGCTTGCCCACGGCTTGGGGGCCAGCGCTGCTGCCTCGTCCGGGCTGGGTGTGTGCGCCCAGGCTCAGGCCCCCGGAGACCAGGACACAGATCAACCAGGACACGGAAAACCAAGGAAACGCCATCCTTTCCTGCAAAGTCGCGTTTTTCAGCACCCATGCATGCTTTGTTTGCTGCACTGCAGGATTCGGGATTGTGTCCGGGTTTAGGGGGGTCTTGCAGGCTTTTGAGGCTTGTGTCCGGGTTTATTTTGGAAATGTTGCAGTGCAGTATTTTGTTCGTGCCGCCGTTGGGATAAATTGGTTTCGAGGGATCTTGGGTGTCGTGGTCTAGCGTGTCCGGGTCTACGGGGCCCTGACAGGCCCGCGCTGGGCGAGGAGGTGGTGCAGGTTGTCTCAGGCGGCGAGGCGCTGTCTCCTGGCACCTGGGAGGTCCCGCTCGGAGCCCCAGCCTTGCAGATTCAAGGCCAAGGCCTTCGGGGATGGCCTGGTCGCGGGCTTGCGCCTCGCGGCCGCGGTCCCCACGCAGGCCGAGGCCGAACACCAGGAGACCTACGTTCGGTGGTATCGCGGTTGCGGTGCCTGTCGTGGAGACCGTGGTTGACACGTTCTTCGGTTCCTTTGGCACGGCCTGGGCGCTGCAATCCGTCGTTGCTGATGTCGGTGGTTGTGTCCTGCGTGCTGCTGTGCGGGGGGCCGCAGGTTCTTTGAGCATGGGGGATCTCCGTGGCCGATGTGGAGCCAGGTGCGCCCAGCAGCTCATGGACACCGGCAGGACTGCCACATGCTCCTGGATAAGGCCCGCTCTTCCAAAGTTTGCACTGTGGCCGTTCCATGGTCGACGATTGTGGGAGCGATCTCTCGGGTCTCGACTGTGTCAGCGTTGCCTCGTCATTCGATGTGTTCGAGTAGGTTTGCTAGACTTAAGTCGGGCCTGTCCCCCTACCGGGGGAATATTCAAACATAATAAAAAATAGCCAGGGGATGTTTTTTGAGTATTTTTGGGCATCTTTTGATTTTTTTAAGTATCTTAAATCCCCCCGTGGACACGCACGACTTAATGCTGGACGTGCAGAATTCCCCATCCCGTGCCTGGAGCGGTACATCTCGTCCTGTAGCTCGTTTTTCCTTGTTCAGGGGGCCTCCTGATGCTGCGCGTGGCTACGGGCTTCCTGGCACCGTATGTGGCTCGGGCTTGTACGCGGTGGTCTGGTTCTGGCCGCTTGCTGGAGTCAATTTGGTACGTCTGTCATTGCTTCGCCGGCATCGGCATCGTCGTTATCTTCCTCGGTATGGCGTTGGCGTGGACCCTGCCCACTCATCTCCCTTGCTCTCGTGATCATCCTGGTGGTTGGGGCGTTGCGCATGGAGTTCGCGGTGGCGGGCCGACTAGAGGTGAAGCCCCCTAGGGGGGAAACGTCCTCCCTCCTCCCTCGCGCTCCTCGTCGTCTCCTCCTTTTCCCGTGTCCCACCGAGCGCGTTCCACAACTCGCGAAGTGCTTACGCGCAAACGTCAGCAACAACACACAGACATGTCTTCCTCTGCGTAATGGGTCGTATATCCTCCGCGGCGGATCCAGGCCATTAGCGAGTAGTTTTTTTGCGAGTAGTGGAACGTGCTTGTCTAGTGCCAGCGGGCGAACGGGGCTCCTCCTCCCCTGTCTCCTTTCTCGGTCTTCCTTTGCGTGCCTCCTTCCTCCTCCCTCCTCCCTCCTCCTGCCCCTCCCTCCTGCTTCCTCCCTCTTCCCTTCCTCCCTCCCTCCCTCCCTCCCTCCTCCTACCTCCCTCCTCCCGCCTTCCTCTTTCCTCCCTCCTTTCTCTTCTCTTCCTCCCTCCTTCCTCTCTCTTCTCTTCTTCCTCCTCTCTTCGCCCCCAGTGGCACGTTGGGGCCAGTGTCTCGACCAGAGCCCCTTTTTTCCTCCCTCCCTCCTCCCTGCTCGCCTTTCCCTCCTCCCATCACGTAACGAAGCCCCTCCGTCTTCACGCTCCGCCTGCCCATTGCTCCCCTCGCCTTTCGATTTGAGCTTTCGTGTTTCGTGCTCTCACCTTTCGTGTGTTCCCTCCTTTGCTTGGCTGTCTTGAATTTTCATGGGAGCCTCGTGTGGCCTCGTGCTTTCGGCTTTCGATTGCATCCGCGTGCGTTGGCATGTGACAGGGGTCACGAAACGCGCCGATGTCGTGGCGTGGGTCAGCGTCGATTTGCGAATGCCGCCGTGGATTTGCAATCTCCAGAGCAAGAACACGGGGGACTCCCACGAGGTGCCACATCACCCCCCCTCTCGGCAATTCGGATTCGTCGCGTGAAGCGAGTACGAGGAGGAACAGGAGGATGTGATGACGAAGATGGGAAAAAAGGGGACTTCGCAGCACACGCTCAATCCTTCCGCTTACCTTCTCCAAATCTCACAATCGTTGGGGGCGGGTCAAACAATTGTTTGACAGCGCGTCTGGGACCCCCACTCAGAGCGGTGCAGCAACGGGTCCAGCATCGAGACCCCCAAGCAGTCTTGTTTGACGATGCCCGTTAGACCCCATACAACAGTATATTCCCCCCATCATTACCATGAGATCTAGAGTATCCCCCCATGATGCAATGGGGGGTGGTCATATTTGGGTGGGGGTCTGATTCGAACTGTGTTGGGGGGTTCGGGGGGGGTCTGGGCAAAAAGGCCGCTTTTTCGAGTTGCTGGTCTGGGGGGGAGGGGCGGGTGGGCGTTTGGAATGGCCCGCCTGGGGGGGTTGTGGCCCCTTTCTCGTGTATTACGATGTTTGGAGCACGTGCAGTGGAAACCCGTGCCGCAAAACCGTGGTCGAGCTCCTGGTGTCCTTCCGCCCCCAAGGACGAGAGAGGCCCCCGTGCCCCCGCGCCCCCCGCGCACCGCGCACGACGGCGCCCAGGGCCCACGCCCGTCGCCCCTCTCGGCGCCCGCTGCCGCTGCCGCCGTGGCTCGCTCGCGCTCTCGCCACGGCTCCCCCACGGCCTGGCCAGCCAGGGAAAACGCGCGCAGCGAGACGACCGATCGCCCGGGAGGCCGCAGGCACGGCGGACGACGACGGCGACGGCGGCGACGGCGGCGACGGCGGCGGCGACGGCGGCGACGACGATGACGACGACGGCGACGACGATGGCGACGACGACGGCGGCGACGACGACGACGCCGCCGTCGAAGGCCGCCGAGTGCTACCGACGGCCATCGGCGGCCGCCGGGTAGGCCGTTCGAGGTTTAAGGGTTTCGGGCGTTTTCGTCGGTCGGTGCTCGGCCAGGGCTGGACCTAAACGGTGTTTTTGCGATTTCTTGGGCCGTTTTCGTTTCCGCTTCGTTTTGCGGTAGTGGTGGATTGAAGACACAAGCGAGGGAAAACGAACACAAAACGAAAACGAAAAGCACCGTTTAGGTTCAGCCCTGTTTCTGGCGTCGGGATGTTCTCCAGCAGCTGCGCTCTTCGCTCAGGCAGTCCAGGGGTACCGGACAGTGCCGAACGGCCGCCGCTGAGCCGAGCTATGGCCCGAAGAGAGGTGACTGGGATCCTGAAGGAGATGGGCGACAGTTTCTCGAAGAGCCTCGGGGAGGCCTCGGACACGGAGGCCAACGCCATCAAGGACCTCTCATCCCTGCCTTCGGTGTCTTCCTCTGTTTATTATCTTCGTTTTCTTTTTCTGGTCATATCAATTACCATATCTTCATATTGGCATGCCTCGAATCTTCCGTATTTTTCGTATATAGGTAATTTGCTTGCGTCTGATATTTCTCTCCTCTTTCCTCCTCCAACGCCTGTTCGCATTTCATGCTTTTCTCAGTACCCTCGTGTTGTTAACTTCCTATTCATCCTCTTCCTCCTCTCCCGCCTCATCGTCCCCAATCCTTCTCTGTTCTTTACGTTCCCCAAGCAGTGCTTGCACTTGGGGCTTCTCACTTTTTCTGAGGAACTGGGCCGGACCGTTGGGCCGGCGGCTATGTTGTCGCCGTCGCCGCCCCGTCGCCGCCTCGCCGCCGCGCGTCGTCGAGGCCTGATCGTCGGTCTGGCGGCCATGCTGTCGCCGTCGCCGCCGCGTTCCGCCGCCGCCGCCGCCTCCTCTTCCATCCTAATATGACGTTGTACCACCCGAGGCAGGTCCTTATCGGTCTTCCCCCTCGTCTTTTACGCCAGATACCATGCGCGCACGCTCGGCGATCAAACTTCACCAGTTTGCAATACTACCTTGCAGCGGAAACTGGACGGAGTGCACGCGCCCGCATCGTCGCGCGCATGTCGAACTCATTGAAACACCGAGGGATTCGTAAGGACTTCAACATCGAGTGTCCCGCAACCATATAAGAGAAACATGGTTTTGCGACATAGGTTTGCAAAAAAGAAGTCTGCGTTGGCGCTCTTGCGAATGCTGAAGAACATCGGTGCGTCAACCTTCTCGTCACATTCTGCCAAGAGTGCCTCTCGCGCGCATGTCGGAGTCGTTCGAATGACCTTGCGCGCGTGCTGTCTCAATAACCCATTGCAAATCAATGGGACGCAGTGCACACGCGCGCGTCGTCGCGCGCGCATGTCGGAACCATAGAAAACATGGGCTTTGTAAGGATTTCAATGTCGAGTGTTCCGAAACATATAAAAGGCATGGCTTCCAGCGTTAGCTTTGAAACCAGTCTGCGCTCGCGCTCTTGCGAATTCTAAATAACACCTTCGGTTATTCAGCATGTTCATCGAGTTCGACACAACGGGCCTCTCGCGCTGCATGTCGAGATCATTCGACCGCCCTTGCGCGCGTGCTGGGGGGGATCTCTGTCGAATAATACCATGCGGGCCACTCGCGCGCGTCGGCCGCGCGCGCATGTGGAACCCTTGTCGGAACCTTGATCACCGACGCGAGGACATCGCCATCATCATCGGTGCGATCAGCATCGGCGCCGTCATTGGCCTTGCCGTCGCCACCGCGGCCATCGTCATCATCATCGCCGTCCCCTGACGCCGCGCCTACCAGAACCACCGACTCGCATTGACGTGCCCCGTGGGACACGAACAGCGGACAGCGCCACCGCGGCCGCGTCGGTCGCGCCAAGCTAGCTGGCAGCTGTGCTCGCGAGCATGCGCGGGCTGGTGCGGCCACGGGTATGCACCAGCCAACACCAAGCACTCATCGCAGTCGCCGCCGCATGGGTTTTGCAACACCATGTTGCGGGTGAGTGGGTGGCATGATTGCCCGAGCATTGGGGTTGTCATGTCCAAATTTTCCAAAGTGCATTGCGCCATCTAGACCTTGCCGCATGGACTGCACCAAGCATATTACAAGACGTGGGCTGCACCACGCAGATTGTCCAACATACATTGCACCGCACATATTGCGCAAGCACATATTGTACAACCCATCTGGGACAACATATATTGCACAACGTAGGGTTCACCACATATATTGCAACACGTGTGTTGCTCCACGGATACTGCGCACCCCATAGGTTGCATTGACCACCAGAAAGAATTTCGAGCCCCCAATGAATACAGGAACTTGAGGGTTTTCACGTGTCGGGCCTTGGGAGACATTGTTTCGACACTCGTTGGACACTTTTCCGGGTGCTCGAACTTATTTCTGGGATGTGGTCCTTAAGTAGGATGGGAGCAACATGACCCTAGTTGCACTTCCTAGATTGCACAACCTATTTGGCACCACATAGTTTGCACACTTTGTCTACAGCGCAATGTATGCCTACACGTATTGATGTGTATGTACATGTAGCACAAGGCGTACCTATTTACATTCATTATGTATCCTTCCATGTGTAGGTACCCATTTTTTTGCAAAACACGTATTGTTCCACTCACAGTGACAGGGGTCCACGGTGATTAACACATAGCACTACCATCCTCTTCCTATCTTCCTCTTCCTCGTTCTCTTTGTTCACAAGTCTAGTCATCACCACCAGCATGGTTTTCACCTTCTTCCCCTTCGTATACATTCGTTTTTGCATCTCTCTATGTACACATGTCCCATTCCCCCCTGAGTGTCTCTCGCCCGTCTCTTTCTCATGTCTTCCTTTATTGCTTCCCCTCCTCCCTTTCCAAGCCCAGAAACCTCCCGACGGCCACTCGTTCGCGAACCCTCCTCGCCCTTTGCCGCTGGCACCCCTGGCAGCCTTTCGGCATCTTTGCGCCGTCGATGCCGCGCCACAGCTTGCTCACACCCGCGGCCTCCTCCAGGGTCCACGAGTTGTTGTTTTTGGTGGTGGTGGTGGTGGTGGTGGTGCAGCGGGCATGCGGGAGGCGGAGGAGGTTGAGGATGAGGCAGGAGGGGGTATTTGTCTGTCTGCTCGGAGGCGGGTCGGGTGGCAAGAACACCTGCCCGCCGTCACCACCCGCAGACATCGAGCCTGTGTGTGTGTGTGTGTCGACGTCGGCTCCCTCCCAGATCTGTTCGATCGGTGCGCGTGCCTCGCAGGGCGGCCCCACGCAGCTTGGAAGCTCCAGGGGTCCCTTCTGAGGCAATTCGGCGTCTGAGTCCACTCGGCCCCCGAATGCGGCGACAAGAAAGCTCGGCTCCAAGACGGTCCTGTAAATTTGGCCTGCTAGGTCGCCGAACGGACTCGACCCTGGCTCCACTCGTCGTCCGACGGCGCTTCAAACGCACCGTGGGCGCAGCGGGGGACCCTTGGTTTCTCCAGGCAGAGGTCGGGCCCGGGAGTGGCGTACGCGACGACCTCTGGTGCCCCTGGACCGTGCTCGACCAGGAGGAGGAGGAGGAGGAGGAGGAGGAGGAGGAGGAGGAGGAGGAGGAGGAAACCTCCGAGGGGGTGTGGGGCCCTTCCCCGCTGGAGCTGGTGCCGGCCCAGACCCGCGGCGCCGTTTTCTCTCACGGCGTCTGCTTTACCCTCTCCTCTCTTCCACCCACCTCCTGCCCCCGGCGAACTGTGCCGAGGAGGAGGACGAGGAGGACGAGGAGGACGAGGAGGAGGAGGAGGGGAGGAGGAGGAGGAGGGGGAGGAGGAGGATGCTCACCTCTCCCGGGACCCTCGCCCTCCCCTCGACTTCGCTCCACTCCACTCCACTCCACTCCACCCGCATCTCCTCGCCCTCCCCTCTCCTCCACCGTTGTCTCCGCGGCCCTCTCCCTGCCCCCCCCCTCTCCGCTCTCCTGCCCTCTCCTCTCCCTCCCCTTCCCCTACGCTCCTCCTCTACTCTCCACTCCCTCTCCCTCTCCCTCTCCCTCTCCTCGCTCCTCTCCCCTCCTCTCCCCTCCCCTCCCCTCCCCTCCCCTCCCAACCGTTCTCCCCCCCTCCCGCCTTTCCACTCCCGCCCGCTCCTCCATCCGCTCTCCCCCCTCTCTCTCTCTCCGCCTCTCTCTCTCTGCCTGTCCGTCTGGTCTGGGCCGCCTCGACCTGCCTGTCTGCCCCTTGCGCCTCCCTCCGTACGCCTGGCGCTCTCTCTCTCTCTCTCTCTTTTTCTCCTCCTCTCTCTTTCCGTCTCCTCCTCTGCCTACCCCCCTCAACACGTCTCCTCCTCTCTCCTTCTCTCTCTCTCTCTTTCCGTCTCCTCCCCTCCCCACCCCCCTTCAACCCGTCTCCTTTCGTGGGGCCTCCCGCCTGGAGCCCGCTCGGAGCACTGTGCCTCGCGCGCGGCCGCCGCGTGCCCCGCGGCGGCGGCGCGCCTGCCCCTCCCGGGGGGCCCCTCTCGACCCCCGCGTGCGCGCGCGCTCGCCCGCGGGCGGGGGGAGGAGTTCGAGGCCGTGGTCGCCGCGAAGGCCAAGGAGAGCCCACCCCCGGGGGGGCACGCCGCGCTGCGTGCCGGAGGCGGGAGGAGGAGGAGGAGGAAGAGGAGGAGGAGGAGGAGGAGGGGGAGGAGGTGGAAGAGGTACCCATACCGCCTCCGCCCGTTTTCCCTTTCGGGCCTCCTGGGAGGCCCTCGTCGCCACCCTTGGATTCGCCTCGAAATCCTGGTCAGAACGCGCCCCGGGAGAGGTCCAGGGAGTAGCGGTATCGGTACCTTTTGGTTTCCCCAGCGTGAGTACGGGCATAGGTACGGTGACGGGGCCGCCTCCTCCTCCTCCTCCGCCTCCTCCAGGCTTTTTGCATTTCTCGGCTTCTGATGTAGTAAGGGCTGTGACAATAACTGTTTTTTCCCGTACCCATCTTGCTAGGCCTCTTAGATAGGGTCGAAGTACATGGGGTCGGAGGATCGCGCCGCATCGCCGATGCATCGGCGATGCGACTCGATGTGGAGCCCGCTTTGCTTCACGCCGACGTCGCCGATGCATCGCCGGTGCCGCTGGCGCATCGCCAACGCACCGCCGATGCATCGGCGGTGCATCGGCGATGCACTGGCGATGCGGCGAGATCCTCCGACCCCACCTGCTCGGACCCCGTCGAGGTGGCGTCCGATCTCGGGCGTTCACGTCTTTCGCCCTGCCCACTCTCCTCCCTCCCTCCGCCAGGTCCTCTCCGGAGGGAGGCGCCGCCCTGCGCTGCCGCTGCCTGTGGCTCGGGAGGAGGAGGGGCTTGTTTAGGTTTAGGTCGGGTATGTCCTGCTACAGGCGGATGGTGGAAGAGAATGGAAGAATTCTCAAACATATCAAAAATAGTCGACACATCGTCCCCAGACTATTTTTTACACTATTTTTGA